GCCAAAGTCCAACGAAAAGAAACAAAGTAAATGAATTTCACAAAGGAACAAACACACATACATACACCGCTATCAAAACTATAACATAATTCTTTTGGGTTCAGTGGTAACGATATTCAGTTTGGGCTAATATTCATATGATAATGGTTCCTACAGCGCTAGTTATCCAAAGTTACAGCTACAACAAGCATCCAAAGATTTACATATTAATGGTATCGGTATGCAAACGTTGACAAGTTCGTCGAATTTCAGTTGTTATTGTTTTAATTGAACTATAACAGTTGCATGAAACTTCATACGTCAGTATTAGAATTAAACCTTGAATACATAACAGTATATAAAATGATGTAAATAGATATAAAGTATATATATATATATATATATATATATATATAAAGTATATATAAAACCATTTCATGTTAGCTGATTATGATGTAAGTGTATTGAAACATAAACTCTATTTCAGATGTTTCCATCTCAATGATCTAATAGAAAAGATGGTATCACAATATTTACGACTTCAGAAACCTTATCTGAATCATTCACTTTAGTTTTTCTCCGTAGTATACCAAAAAAATTGTAACAAATAGATCTTTTATTTAACATTATAAGTATTATTATTTTTTCTTTTTATTTTCAATTTGAGTTTTGCAATGCTCAATAAAATAACGTTTAATTTTCAAGCACGATTAACACTTAAGAATAAAGAAATAATTACAGATAAGATAATTTAAAAACACACTAATAATTACAATTTTAGTCTCGGATCAAACATTACACGTTACACTTCAGTACTGATAGCTAGTTATTTAAACGCGATATTAATATGAACCTTATGTTAAACGCAGTTAAGTGTATTTTTGCAAACCTTGAATGCAAATGGACTAAAGTAAAATTTGGGTCGAATTTGCAAATGTTTGAGAGCCTTTTAGCTAGAATTTAAATGGTATAAATGTTATTCAAATTGACATACAAATCTAAAGGAATATGGAAACTATTTTAGAAATTTTACCTAATAATTCCCAAGAACGTGAACATAAATATTTTTTTGTGAAAAAACGAGAAATTTTAAAAATATAACCTAGTTTCTTCTTTTCTTTTTTTTTCATTATCGTAATACTTAAGTTTGTTCTATCATTAGTACGTATAATATACAGTAACCTGTAATAAATAAAACAAATATGGGATTAAGTACAAAAATAACGGTCAGTCAGTCAGAAGTTATACTATCTCTGGAGCATATCAATAACAATGAGTGTTTCTTAGTTTATATATATTTACTACATCAATAAAATAGATAATTACGTTTTGAAAGACAGAGGGTGGCACTTCCTCGGTCGAGCCAGCCCATGTTCGAGCTGTAGTAACTTGACCACAGCAAGCCTACCACGTCCAACATCGTTTTAATATTGCCTTTACTCTTCAAACTTATGGGACCTTTATGAGTTAGACTACCTAAAATAATTAATTGAAATAATTCATGAGATAGATGTTAATGATTGAAATAAATCATGAGATAGAGTGAAATACTGGGCTGCTGCCAGCATGATAAGGCTGTACATCATAAATATTGTTAGAGATATGGGTTGTAAGCTTGATAACTCTTGAGAGAAAGTTAAAATATCCTAAAATAATAATTGAATTTAATAATAAAATTATAGTTCTGCAGAATTGATACTTAAGGAATAAAATAAGAACTCTGCAAAATTAATTAAACTTGATATCTTTTTTACCTTAAAACAACTTACGATCTGTCGAAATAGTCCAATCATGGACTCCAACAAAACCTCAGCAGTTTCTGAGATAAAAATTGTTTGTCACGTTCTATACACATCTTCAAACAACCCAAAATATTGCTTACAAAAAATACAACTCATCAAATAACCCAAAAACTCACCTCAATTTAATATGATCAAATAAGAAACATGATGACAAAATATCAACAGTAGTGTAATTATTACATTCCCTTTTTTATTGTAATATTTATTATAGCATTTCTGTCATATGTTAATACAACAATTAATTTGTTTTACCAAAATTGAAAATATTAAACAGGTATAATTTGAAAATTTTGACAATTAATTAAAATAGGATTTGGGTAGAAACCTAATTGAGTCTTTTACTGAAAGCTTAATTTATAGTGACTACATTAATTGTTACAAAAATTTATATCGATTAACTCACGTGTTACCTAACAAAAATAAAGTACCATACAAAATGCGTAATTAATTGTCTTATAGGATTAAAGAGTATGATATATAGTTATTTGTGAAGATTGGACACAATTTATAACTAAAACATTATTGTATTAAAAAGATGATCTGGTTTTCTTTTGTTTTCTAGATTGTTTCATTATTTGATACATTCAAAATCTCTTATTCTGTCTTACTCCCGCATAAAAATGCATAACGTTTAAGCATGAATACTGTCCAGACACTTGTAAACTGGAATAAATTTTAATAAATCTAGATAATATATTCTTTAAGGCATAAATAAATAGTATCAGCTTTATATTTAATTTCATGAAGCTGCTTTCTATTTTAATGGAAAGTATATTAGATAGTCTTGACTGATTAATTTAATTATTTTTGACGTAACAACAATACTAATTGAAACTTAATCACTATTCTAACCTGTCCTTGGGCTTTAAGAATCAAAAGTTTCAGTCATAAAATTCGTAAAATAGAACATATAAATGAACATTATTTAGTTATTGATATAAATAGAAGTTGTTAAGAAGCTTACTGCTATTTTACGCAAAATACACGTTTATTTTTTGATATAAATAAATTTTTAATTTTTATACTAGAAAATGTAGCATGTGGGATTATAACAGAACACATTTAAACGAAAGTTAGTTGTTCGGATACTACGCCTCTTTCATGATTTTATATACACGTGACGTTTCGGTTACTTTACAGCAGCAATGACCACGGGCAAACGAAATGAAAATGTCTGTCAGTTTTTCTTGTTACGTGTCGTCAACCTCCAAAGATTTCTTATTTTTTTATTACATTTTTGAAGAAAGGATTCAGGATAATTAATTGTCAGAAATATGTTGTAATTTCATTATGATTTTATGTATTTCATTTGCATTTTTATGATAAAATTTATCTTGTAAATAATAGATACCTTCGGAAAACAGTTATACACTAAGAGTATAACAAGCTTTCCTTTAACTTTGAGTTATTTTCATCAATAAAAATACAACTGAAATTTAAGACAGTCATCTTTGATTAATTTGGATGAATTTTGCATACACACTAAGATTTAAACACAATTCATGGCTTACTCACTGACGTCATTCTAAACAGATGGTGCTTATAACCATTTTTACATAGAAAATTTATGTATTACTATAGAATTTGAAATTATATTTGTAGAACGTGAACTGTATGTCCAGTAAAAAAGATTAAGATATCTCAAATAAATTCTTTAAAAAAAAAAGAAACACGGCTCTTTGTTTAAAGCGATAAACTGAGTATAAAGCCTTTTGAAAATAAAAATATTTATAGTTTTTAAACTTTGCTACACAACTTTCCAATTTAACAACAATTGTAAGAACCTTTTAGACAGTTGTGAAAATATAAAAATAAAATTTTCAAAAGGACAGTTAATTTTGCTGTTCGCTGTACAATATAAGTTGGCTCGTTTAGTTAATTTACGGCCTTTTAAAATTAAAGTTTCACCCAGTTGCTGTTATAATGAAGTGAGCCTTTCTCTCAGCTTCTTACTCGTCAGCATCTTGAACATCAACATTTTAAACTTACGACCTCTTTTAAATAATTAAAAGAACATTTTAGAATTTTACAATGTAACTTTGAAGTTATGGCCCTTATTAAATTTAAATGCTCTTAACTTCTGACCTCGTTCTCACTTAGCATGCGTATCTATTTTATAAAAGAAACATTAACGTAGCCACGAGATAAATAGTGTTAAATATGGCATTAAAACACAATTTGTCCAAAATATTTTTTATTCTAACGTTAAGGCTTATCCAAAATATACATATTATTACTGAAACTTATTTATTGTTTCAAGTATTTTTAAAATTACCAGAAAAATATTATAGTTATTGCACATATATTATTACACAAGTAAGACGTAGGCACAGTCAAAAGAAATTAGAAATCGGACTACAATTATATACTTATTTACTAAATGATAAGTCGTTCTTGTAATCATTTACATTCTAACTAAACTATCGACATACATAATTATTTTCATATGTACTAAAATTTAAAATAAATAACGATTGTAGACTAGAAAATTTCCTAAATATCTAAAATACTAACAATTAAGTTAAATAAAAATAAATATGTACATAAATTATATTTTTGGTATATTTAATTTGATTCGCTCACTAAAGGGAACTAAAACTATGATTACCTGATACTTTTTAGCCTAATAATTTTTACCCTTTCATTGTTCAACCTGTCTTTATATTATATAAACATATATTTTATTCACAATGTTGTCCTCTTTTGAACAAATACTACTTACATTTATTCAATAATAGTTTACTTCTGCAACTTGGGTATCTGCTCACCCACACTACAAACTATTATATATTATATATCATATAATTGTATTACTAAATAGTTTTAAAATTTAATTCATTGCTTTACTTATATATGACTAAGATACTACTGAAAAAATACACATTGATTTCTTCAGAAATTAAATTTTAACTACTGCGATTTATCCGTTTACAGAACCTTTTGTAAAACTATTAAAAGAAACATTGCAAGTTATTTAATACAAATCACAAATAAATAATAATCAAATCGATTTTTTTTTTGTATTACAATATGCTTCTTAAATGCCGTCAACATTCCTGACACTAATTTTATTCTCAACTTGACACGCTTTTACTTAGTTTACGTCAATCTCCAACAGCACACATCACTTCTTAATGTTATTTTCTTGTACTTCTCTAACTGACACAAATTTTAGTTCCTGTCAAATACCATTCAGTCTTTGTATACATACGTGGGAGATTAATAGCGCATTTTAAACTCTCCTAATTGATTTTCTATGAGCACTGTTTCAGTGGTCTCTTGTTGTGGCGGCGTGGTGGTTGGCATTGCAGACGGTCGCAGTGAGATAGCGAGAGGTAACGCTGATCTCGCACAAAGCTGGGACGCTCCACGGGTCGAATTAACTGACCGGTAGCGAGTACAACGACCTCGTCTGGAACGAAGAACTTGAAATATTCATTTTGAAACATTTATTTTTACGGTATAATTTACAATGACTTATATTTTTTACAAACCACCCATATATTGTATAAATTGATTTTTTTAGTACTTCTTCTCATTTTTTTTGTCTATCGTATGTTGCATTACAGCCGGGCTTTTGAATAGGGATGAAATTAAAGGGTCTATATGGACGAACAAATGACTAAGTATGTAGCAATTGTATTGCTAGCCATACATGTAAATGCTCTACAGAATTTTTTGTATTGTAAAGTAGTGTAAAATTATAAAGGTTAATTTTAACATACGCCTGTGTTTTGAATTACTATATTTATTTTGAATTTAATTATGGACCATACAGACAAAATTTAAATGTAAAATTTCTTGTCAAGTACCGATTTTCCATTACGAATAATGTTTTAGAACTATTGATCGAACATTACAAAAATTTTATATAGATAATAATTTCAAAAAATTTTGCATATAAAACTCAATATAATGTTTTTATTGCATCCTAGTTTCATAAAACAACACAATATACGTAGCAATATTTGTAAATTAAACTCCTTTACTTCTTTTAACTTCATTCTATACATTCAAAAACAACTTTTAGTTCAAACGTTAAAATCATCACGTTCCAGTATTTGCATAACATGTGTAGATACTTATAATAGACGAAATTTGAACGATGCTTATAACTTAAGTCGTTTGAATAATATGTGTTATAAAGTGAGTTCTACATATATTTACTTGAAACATAACATTAAATGGATTAAGGTTGAAATCATATTAGTTAGACCTTTGTTCTAACATTTTATCGCTTTATTTAGTGTACTTTTACTTATTTTAGTATTTAACACAATTATTTGTTATATATAGTAACAAAATGGCCAAAAAATAATGACCATTTGTAATTGTTTGGTAGGACATTAAACACAATTTATGGAAACACGCAATTTGTTGTTTCTGTAACCCATAAAGAACTGAGCAGTTTATGCCAACTCACGTCGAGTGCTCTCTTCATTGACGTGAGAAAATCGTTTGATAAAGTCGTATCGACCTACATTTTAACTTATATGAAATGAAAGTATCCGACAGGGTCCATCTCATTATTGGGTATAGTTTAAATCGATTTTTCTGCCATTTAGTAAAGGGCACTGTTTCATCTATAAAATTACAATCCATTGTCTTATAAATCATCAATAAGAGGATAAAAGACAGACAATATCTGTAGCTTTTATCTTTATAACTGTCAACCACCCATTCCACTGATCACGGTACATATAAAAGATTATAAGTTTATTTTGTACATTCTATATGCCTTACGCGCTATGAACAGACAGCAGGCAATGGGAGACGCGAATGATGTATGACATTTGAGCATATAAGTTGACATGCTCAATGGTTGTTTTACGCAATATTGTTGAATTCCGTCATCAGTCGTAATAATCTTCAATCTATATAGACGCGACTATTGCTTACATTATATAATCGCACTGTTTCCGCCGTTAAAGATGATACCGTTTTGCATATCGTTCTGTCATTTGTATGTCTGAGTGATAGTTAAGAAATTCTAAGACAAGTCTCCTTGCCCCCCTAATAGTAAAAAACTTACATTCGAATAAAAATGTTGGTGAAGTATCAAATATATGGAAACTACGACATTTTATTTTTATATTACATATGAATAAGCAGTTATTTAAGAACCGTCTGGTTTATAAGATTGAGATTTGCCTATAATCTGTTTGGCGATAATCAAAGTAAAAATTCTTATTTCTTCCTTCGTTAGTATAGTGATATTCATTATGTTACTAGTACATTTAATTATCGAGATTAAAGTTATGATTAGAAACAATCTATTGAAGAAAACAATTTTCCTGATTTATTTATATAAAATGAAGAAAATCAATTAGTCGCAAATCGAGCGATCTACTGGCACGTGTAAAGCCGTCTATGGAGTAATCATATGCTTAAAGTGCCTTACATAATTTTGAAATGAGCTGATAATCTTGTGCTAATATTCCAATTATATCTAAACAAAGCTAAGAATTAAATTAAGAAAACTTTGACAATTACTTAAAATACATACATGGGAATCGATCGATCTTTTAATTATCTTTTAATGCTACAGACAGATACACCCACACATGCACGTGAAACTTGTGACATCTCCCCTTTTGCGTTGGTGTCTATTAATAGATACGTGTAATTAAATTAACTGTTTCCAGTTTAGTCACAGCTCTTCATATAATAATCAAGATATCAGATATTTCCTTAAATTAGATATCATCATCCAATTTTGAAGTAACAGCTGTTATTTTTTAATAACTCCCAACCTATGTACTTCAGAAATAAAGACCTCTTTTACATTTTAAAAGAGATATTAAATAAACATTTAGGACGGAAAATTTACATGACGCATTTTTTTGCTCATGAATTATTATATAAGTATTATGAATTCATACATTTAAATTCGGCAACAAGACGGAGACAATCAACATTTGATTGTCTATCATTTTTAATGAACCTCTTACTTATACATTTACAAAACCCCATTGATTTTTTAATGACGTATTTACAACTAACAAAAAATTATAAATTTTAATTAAATGAAAATATTATTTTGTATACATTTTGTTTATATCGTTAGGCACGGTGAAATAGACAACTTAAGTCCTCTAGTAAATGAAAATTATAAGGTTTAGAACCCCATCGTAAAGTTCAAATTGGTATAACAACAACAAATTAAACCGTTCTTTGAGGGCTATTTCTATTGTGGTCAACGATGCGACAAAGTTTGAGCAGAAAACAATCTAATTACTTAGGAGGTATTTATTGATGTTCAAAGAAATTCAAATAAACAAAATAGAAGCTTTAAAGAAAGACTTAAATACAAAAAAAATTGAGAACGGAATGTTTTGTCTGAATTCTGGAAACGATGAAAATTTACCTACTCATTTATATGTTTTTTTATTTATTAAATTATTCTTTTTTTTTATTAATTTATAAAAATCTAGATAGTTTATTGTGTTAAACAGGGATTTGTGTTGCATTCGTACTAACAGCTAAGTTCCAATTAACAAGAATTACACAAATATTTAATTCTTCTGTACATCATTTTTATAACATTACCTTATACACAAAATGAAATATTTTTTAGTATATTATACAGGGTGACTGGTGAATTACTATCAATATTTAAGGAGCATATTCGGTACATGATTCTCATTCGAATTATGTAAAAAAAAAGGTACTTAATTTTTGACCAAATTTCCGTATAAATAAATAAAGTGCGGACACGTTCCAAGTGTTCCAAGTGTGGACGCGTGCGGTAGCGTGCTGATATATCACCACGCCGCCACTCGCGCGCGTGTGAGTGTGTGTGTATACCTAATCTATAGGGTGTTCACACGATGCGAAATTAATTACATAACTTTTGGTTAACTTTACTTAGAAGTTTATTAATATTTATGTTATATTAATTTTTATTTTGTCATATATGATCGTCAAATATCACGTCCTCAAGTATCGATAGTAATTCACCAGTCACCCTGTATATTAAAAAATCTAAAATAACTTTCTTAAAATAAATTTATTTTACTTTATTTCACCACAATTGACTTTTTAAAAATATACCCTGACGTTTACAAGATGCTAAACTTCATGTTTAAAATCAAATGTTTATAATAAAACATAAAACTGTTAATTTAAGAGGATACTCAAACAATTCCCACCTCCGCCCTGCCGTAGTCTATAATTTTGCATAAAGTATCCATTAAGAGAAGTCAGTCTCATGAAAATTGACGCAAACATTTTAACACACGTTCATTAAATGGTTTTGTTCTATGTTTATTTATTTATAGATATAATATTTAATAATTTTTTAATAAATTATTATGAAACTAGTTTAAATATATCCTCAACTATCGGATACCAGATACCTCCACTGGTTCAGAGATACTTATGAAGAAACATTTTTAAGGCTTTCACGAGAATTAATTTAGATGAAACTAATATTTTTCGGACTATACTACGAATATTTTATTGATATTAAAACAACATACACGACTTTTTGGTTACTTTTCAGCAACCGTGAAAACAGCAGACGAGATGTAAGATTCACATCGGTTCGGATTCAAAACTTCGGGAGTACATACTAATACATACATACTCATACATGTATACATACATAAAACTACATAGTTTTACTATAATAAATTCGTGTAGTATACTCGTATAATCAGAAAAATATTGATTTCATTTAAATAAGGAACATTATATAAGTACGTCATAAGTGTAAAGTGATATTTTTAAAAGACCAACAGTCATTTTAATATAAGGTATTTATAGAGATTTACTTAAATATTACCTGCTGCAGTGACACCTCAATAGCCTTAAGAAGGCAGCTCTGAAGGTTCTGTTGAATACCGTATATATTATGGGGTTAATAGTGGACGAGACGTATCCCAGCCACAGACAGATGTCAACCACATGCTCTGAAAGGAAATCGATATAACAGAATATTTGCATATCTTACATAATGATATACTCGTTCAATAAAAAAACATGTTAAATTTTTTCGTAAATCTCATAATAATAATTTGGTTTGTAATAATTGATTAATTTAGTAATTGTAATAAATCGCATAATGAAGAAATCGTCTTTCTTTACAAGTTATTCGAATTGAAAGATTGTATATGTATGTCTGTTTAAAAGTTGTGTGAAAAAATAAACCTGTTTTGCTTCAAAACAAACGAAAAGTTGCCCTAAAACTAGTAATAATATAATATAATGCGGTCAGCCTAATGAATTTATTTAGTATTAAAATTAACTGAAAAATAAGAGATAATATTGGTCTTTTTGAATCTATGTTGTACCTTTTTATACTTTAGTTGTCTTAGATTAATTACAAAAAAACGTTTAATAACACGAATTATTTTAATAATAAATATGAGATTAACATGATAGAAGATTAAAATTTAACTTTATAATGTAAATAGGTACCTAAAACAACATACAAGAAAGGCCTCTTAGATAAGTAAGTCTTTACTTTAAATATATTACTCACATCGATCTTTAATGTGTGAAAACATTATACCTGAGCCAAATTAATTTTTGTCTGTGTTCCAAAAATCATCGCACGACATTAAAACTCAGTCATTAATTCAACCATTCATTAACAAACCATGTAATAATTATTTTTATTAAATAAATAAATTTGTAAGCCCATGAATTGTGTTAAAATAATGACAATCCAATTTTATTTCCCAAGAATCCTGATAGCTAAAAAAATATACGTATTGTATTCAAGATAAAAACGTCTTCAAAAAATTATTTCAACATTTCAAAGCAATTATAAGTTTTAAGAGCGGAATATTAAGGTTGAAATAATTTCAGCCGTTTAAGCAAACGAATAACTTTAATACTTGTTTGTTGATCCTATTCGTGAATATGCTTTTTTAATCTTGGTCTTAAAGTGGATGCTTTGTTTTGTTTAACATAGAAAGAAGTATTGTTTATTTCATATGTCACTGATTTGAAATCACATCTTATACATATGTCACGTTGATCTCTTCAATCCTGTTTGTAATTCAGTTTACAAGAATACTTGCGTAAACGTTTTTTGGTGTTTAGTTTCTTCCAAAAAGAAAATGTTCGTCATCAAACATTAGTGTTAAAGGTTATCAATAATCATAACCTACTAAATTTTACTAGCAAGATTCAGTCTTATTTTAGTTTTATTTTAATTAAAATAATTATATTTTTTTTGTATTATTTTAGGTAATTCCATCTTTTATCGTGAATATTTTACTTTCCCTATCAAACAAAATAGCTTAATAAGAGTACAACATTGATACCACCAGCTCTTTAATGGAAGAAATATTAAATTAAATACATTTACTTTTTTTGTGTCTGTTAGACCAAAAGAGACTTTTCTCCTATTCTTGTTACTTTTGTGAGAAAACAACTAAATATTGTCAGAGCCTAATATACTAATACCTCAATTCTCAATTATTATAAAATCATAATCATTAGTAGCCATATGGTCAACTAGACCACATTTAGTATTTATGTTAATTTATACCTGGTACGATACAAGCAGGACACGAGGCGAATAAGATGTTGAGTAAGAAGAATGGCGCCCAGCAAAGCACGAAAGTGAAGAAGACAAGTCCAAGAACTTTCGTAGCTTTCTGTTCGTTTGCCACTGCGTTGGCTGACATCGACCGGTCCTTTTTACGATTAGCCAGAAACCTATAGAAAAAGTAACAAAATAATAGGCAGTCTTCTATAGAATTTGTTGTTCAAAGTATACATAAAACTACAATTTGCTTTCCCATGCTGAAATAAGCTCCAAACTATATCTAACTTAAATAATCTTTCACATTTATTTCCTTATATTATCAGATGTAATAAAATGATCTTACTCTAAAATTCTATGGAAAATGAATACCTTATTACTAAATCGGTAAAATGAACATATTTTTGATTGTTGAAACTTAAAAATATGTATATATATATTCAGCAATAAGGCCCCAATGTTAATTGTTAAACTGACAATGATAATTTATGAGGTTTTAGAAAAGGCGTTTACGTATTTCAATAGTTTATAATATTGAAGAATCTGCATCCTTTTTAAAACATTAAATTAATAGACACAATAACCTACACTTATTGACAAAATTGTTTAATTCTTATAAATTATATACATATTCCCCTAAATCAATATGGAGTCAATTAAATAAATAATTAACATATTCATATCATTCTAAAGTTTTGAATAGGTAAATACTTCACGGCAGATTACTATAATATTTCTAGAAATAAAAAAGTTAATAGAAATATGAGAGTGGATATAAAAATATATCTGCCAGTGATTCTATTAAGAGCGGCTTTACTATTCTCTCGGTCGAGAAAAGAGTGTAGAGGCAACGCAGTTCAAGAGCCATAAAATTAAATTTCTTTATTAATTTATCTTTACCCTACAGGTAACACGTGTAATATATTCAATTTAATATCATAACATATACCTTCTCCTGTATCATTATTTTATTTATATAAAAGTCTACATAAATATGAAAATCACTGCCAATTTTCGTAGCAAATTTTATAACTCAAGATCGGGTTCACGCATCCATACCAAATATTTAGGCTTTGATTTGACTACTTAGATGGTCTATGTGAAGTTTGGACAAAATCGGTCGAGCAGTTCTTCATTTATTATATTTTGTATAACAATGAATTCAATAAACGGTGGCTCATTTTGTTTATGGGGTTTTGATTCAAATTGAATTTTTTCAGTGTTAACAAAACAAGCATATTTTTATGTTATTTATGAGGTCATTTTATTTTGGAAATGCTTCGATAAAAACAATTTGTCAGCCATAACTATTGCTTTTTGTTAATATGTAAATCAGTTGACAGATCTATGAATCAAGATGAGGCTCTGAATTATCCAATTCTATTTTTAACTTATTAGAACCAGCTACATATCGAGTACATGATCGCATTTTTTTAAATTTACAGTTCGTTCTGTGATTGCATTATTGTGAAATATTAATAAACGAAAACTGACACAGGATAGGGAGTGAAAGTTATTGCCAAATTTGATTGAAACTATGATCTTAACTGATTAATCAAAAGGAGAAGTTTGTTTGATACCGCGTATGCCTATAATTCCAATAGATATGCCATTTCAAACGATTACAATATCCTTTGCATTTATAATTTGCAATGTCCAAAGCCAAGGCCTAACATTTCACGTTTATGGTGTGAATTTGGAAAAATGTTTTCACATGACCAGCTTTTTTTGCTTCCAAAATCGGTATCCCCAGATAAGGGAATTTAATAAAGACCATCAATCATAGGGATTACCCTAATTGAGAGACCTTAATAATACCATGTGTTCCGTTGTCCCCTTCACGTCTTTAATACTGTTAAGATATTCAGCTCACACAACGGCATAAAGAGGCTGAATAAAATAAATAGTAATAATTTCGCTCAAACCATTAATATGAAGGTCGGAAATACGGAGTGTGAACGGTCTGCAATTTATTTTCTGAAAGATAATTAGGTTTTTTTTTATAAAATAAAGCGTCATTTTTATTCTAGAATGATAAATATACTGTTTCGGTGCTATTTTTATTTCTTACAAATTAAATAGTTGCTCCGTATTGCAATTTATAAGCGAAAAATTATCATACATGAATTCATATATTTAACCAGATAATTAAAATTGTACTTAAAATAAATTATATTAATTAATTGTCATTATTATATACTTTATGTTTATTTCACTACACTTCCTAAATAAATGTCACGTTCATGTGGATAAACAAATAAATGTAATTAAATCTATTAGAAGTCAATACTTTAATCACAACAAATTTACATGTCATATAAATTTTGTAAAAGGAGCAACAAGTTAATATTGAAAGTTTAAAATAAAATAGATTTTTTTTTTTCAGGAGACCTTAATAAAATCTTGTTTTAAAATTATTTCTTTATACTAATAGCAAAAAATATACTCGTATAACAGATCAGCTGGATAAGGAAAAATAATTTCAGTTGACGCGATTTCCGAGGCTGTTTTTATTAGTTTCGTGTCATACAAAGAACATTTTTTGGCCGAGAATATGATATTAAACCTTGATTTATTTTTCATTTGACTTATTACAAATTAAATGTTATATTTTGCTGGTATCCATTTGACATTTGAGTAGGAGTCATCTTATACACATTAGATCTACATCAAGTGGTCGTAAATGACACATTCAATAACATAAAATTGATGGTTTTGAACATAAAAGTCAATATTTTAAACTACTCTTATGAATGAAATTAAGTTATTCGCATACTAAGCTGTTTTATTTTTTTATATCTTTATAATATCAACGTTTTTGTTTCTTAACAGCAACTCTGATCACAGGCAGACGGAATAAAAATATTAGACACTATATAAAATAAGACTAACAGTAGTATTCGAAAAACTTAGTTTCATTTGAATGTGTAAACGCGAAAATCATCAACTGAATGAAATCTAAGACGTTCGTGAGTAATCATTTAAATGAAACTAATGTTTTCGGATTACTTATAATAACCAATATTTTTACAAAGTACATACTGCCGACGTTTCGGTTACTTTGTATCAACCGTGATCATAGGCATTGATATCTTGTATGTCGAATATATTAGTATCATTTAAATCGGTTATTTTTAAGAATCTTAGATCATTAACTTTAAATAATTTTGATAATGATTGCCCTCACCGTAATGATAAGGCATTAGGTGCGGCTAAAGAGATCTTTAGAGGGTTCAATCTCGCTCGTCTTGTTTCAGCACTGATGCTGGCTGGAGTCTGCGTCGCCACATCTCTGTTCCGTCTGGATGCAACCGAGCTTGTATTGCCACAACCATTCATATAGCTCAGCTGTGGATGCGATGTACTCATGCCTATCTTGTTACGTTGCGATCTAAAAGACGTTTTTCTTATTTAACATTTATCCTTCTTATAATTTTCTATGATATTCTAGATCAATATGTTTTTATATATTTCTGCTCCATGCAAATAGAAATTCGTTCATTCTTAAGTTAATACATAGCTAACATTGTTTCAACCAAAACATAAGAACGTATGTTTTAATATTTCAATATTTATTATACTATTTGGATTATTCCATATAGTTAACGATCTATTACAGACCATTTATCAGTGAAGTCGTTAAGTCTCAATGGCATTCTTTGTTGCTTGGTTTTCCTTACATAAATCATGTTAGTATTGAATGACTAATCATTTTTCTAATTGATAAGAAATTACATATTATATATCCATAAGCCAATTAGTATTAAAAATATTTAATGTTTTCAATACAACGAATGAAAACTATGTTCAAGTAAATCTGATCTATAGCAAATAGACATATCAAACATACACGTGCTTAAGATCTGTCTTGACCTGTATGTGTTCCAATACAAGTCAAGTACTATCGCTTAATTCTCATTAGATTTGACATCTCTCGACCAAGATAACTGAATGATTATTATAGTCCAGTGCTATAACTTTGATGACGAACCAATTGAAGCATTAAGTGATAGATCGATGACGTTTTACTACATTAAATTAAGACAGACATAAGAATACCATTAATAATTTATATAAGTATTTCATGTGTGATATAAACAATAATATATAGCAATAGTTTTCACGTAGTCTATATTATAAATACGGTTATACCGTGATGTAGAAGTCACACGCCAAGTCATCTGCCTAGAAGCTACACCGGGGGATAGCTCTGGAGACCTGGCACCCAGCCGACGAACGCACTGCAGTGGTCCGTTGTCGTAGCCACCGCATTGCCTATTAATAAACCCTTTATAAGAAACAATGGCCAAACTCAATAACAATTACAAAATCTATAACTAACGACAAAATAATCCTACTAATATTATAATTGCGAAAGTTTGTGAGTGTGTGTGTATGTTTGTTACTTCTTCACGCTCAAACGGCTGAACCGATTTTGATAAAATTTTCTATACAGGAAGCTGACGTCCAGGAATAACACATAGGCTACTATACATCCCGGATATCTCGGAAATCCTGGAAATCCGCGGGTAACACCGCGGGGCGCAGCTAGTAATCTATAATTTCATAATGTATTCAATATAGTTTTACAAGTCTTATTTATCTTAAGCGTCTTTACATTTTTTATTTTTCAATCAAAAACACCTAACCATCATTCAATTGTGTGAGAATTTTCATTATAGTAGAGATAAAGATAATACACCTTTAAAAGCGGGGTTATTTTATTAAGGACTTACGGAGGACCTAAAATAAAAGGACTATCAAAAATGTAAAAGGCACTTTAAAACTTTTATGTAAATACATAGATGATAGCTTACTTGAAAGAGAATAAATTTTTATGTCTGCGTAATACATTTAATTCATTATCAAAATTAAAATCAAAAATTGCAACCAGCATCAATAATCTCACTGTTATTATAAATGATAAATCTATTCACAAATGTGTATGCTTATAAACAAATCACGCAAAATATACGTAAAAATGAATGACATTTTATTGCTAATATACCTATATATGTATGTAGCTGTGATGCTGAAATACAACATCATTTCTGTCCAACAAGCCTTTGTTGTCACCAGCATGAATACAGGTAGAAACTAGTTAAACGAAATTTATTAACGTCAACAATTTTTATATTGAAGGTCATATCACGTTCTTGTATTTAAGCAAAACATATTATTTTTACTCAGTTAATTTTTCCTTACTAAAATAACTTTGTTTTAATGGATAAAATTAATCTACGCTGCTGATAAAAATATTCTTGTTTTTGAGTGAAGTGTTTTCAATAAAATCTTAATTTTCATAGAATTGTTTTTTTTTTCTATTATTATTGTCAATAAATGAGATATTTTTTTGAAAATTACCAACTTTTCTAAACGTAACAAACAGAGACAATAGTAGATGTTACACGAAAGCTTTAGAAAAAGGACCTTTCTTTGCACAAAGTTGAAAAAAAAGTACTTCCATTTGTTAGTAAATTGTTGAAAAGGCCAGAAAACTCTCGTTACCTAACTTGACATTATTTAGTTTTATATTAAGAAATTATGTTTTTAATAAATTCATAGAAAGTCATCAAAATGATGATAATATTACGCAAGTTTGAAAACGGTTTCTGTTACTGCTAACATTATTTGAATACGCTGCGCTGAAAACCACAATTCTGCGGTTGTGGTTTTGTTAATGTGCTATTTTTTAAGTAAACATGTCTCAGTGAATTTAAAGAAAATAGCATTATAGAAAAATAAAAAGTATTTACAGGCTAAAATACCAACCAACGAAACCGTAAAAGCAAAATAAACTAGACTAACTATTAATAATACCGTTGCTTTGACTCTAAATCTGAATAGTACCTTATGTAAATTAATATATAATGTATAGAATAGGGTTTAATGAAAAGCTTCATTGAAATCTCTTGTTAATATCAATTGATTCTGATTCTAAATAATATCCAAATTGAGTACAACTGTATAATTTTAAAAATATTGTACTTTATACCATAATCTATTTTATATTCAAAAAAGGAGGAAAGAACTTTACATTCATTATTTACTTATCATAAATATATAATATATTTGCCTATAATACAAAACACAATTCAATTATGTGTACTCGTATCAAGGTATTTTTAGGATATTGTAAATAAAAAATACGAGTAAAATCTTCCATTCCAGTTGATCTGTTACTTGTCTTTAATATATTCTGGACAAGTTCCAAAGTACAGAATCGGGCAAACTGAATAATTCCCGGCATCAATCAGCAAGCGCTGCCAAAGAAGTTGCTATATATTATAATTTATTTTCTTATTTGATCTAATGTCGAGGTCGAAATGTAAAGCTATTATGTTATTCATTTAATACTTATAATTTCGTTCAATAAATTTTATTAAATGGAAATATTATTATTAACTCATTATCTTTATCTCATACGAACAATACATTGATAGAATTAGAATTTTAGAGTCAAGTTTTGGAAGGTAAACTACAAATAGGAACTACTCAAGAGAATATAATAACAACTCTCTTCTACCTGGCAATTTCCCCGTTTTAGCCAGGGTCTGCCTTACACGTTGTGAACAGTTTTGGCTAATTGTTTTTACTACCAACCGCCGGCCTGACATCAACCTTTTTTGGGAATGCATTTATCAGTGATGTCTAAATATTCTTAGAAAGTACATATGACTCGGAAAAATCTCATTGGTACTTGTCAGGATCGAAACCGCGCCCTCATGCATGTGAGGCGGGCCTTTTAACTACTAGGCCACCACTGACTATAATATACTATAATAACAACTATTCAAGTCAATTAAACTTATTTAGTACTTTCTTATTGCCTGCTGAAAATATGTATAATATTGTAATTTTAAAGTATATAACTTCTACTCACCGCCTCTGTGTTCCTCCTGGTACAGGATTTGCTGCCAGCCTCGCTTGTCTCTTCAACAATTGCACCGTCAACGCAAACGATACTACCATCATCAACATCGGTATATAGAAGGCGACCAAAGAACCGAAGACCCAAAATAGACGATTGTTTATCACGCAGAGGTCCGGTGTTGGCATTATATTCGTTCTGTTTATTATACCTAAGGAATAAAGATGATATTTAAACATGATGTAAATTATACGAACGAGGGATTCTTGACGAAAAAGTGGCTAGAAAAGTTTAAGAATATTTGATATCGTAGGTACATTGGATTGGAATGGAAACGCTTACAAAATATTTTACAAACATTTTACTTAATTGCGACTTCTAATTGAATTAAATAAGTATAAAAACTTCCTCATTCACTATTAATGAATAGTATATTAAAAATTTAATTGCCTTTTATAATTTCATAAGGTTATCTGAATATTTATAATTTTACAAAAGTCTAGACAATAGAAACGATATAGAATTATGTAAACACTCTCTTCTTGGCTTACCTACTTTAAATTTCTCGAAAATAAATCGCGCAGCAAGACAATCGAAAAACTTAAAAGGTTGCGAATTTGCTTTCATATTTGTTGCCAAAGTAATATTTATTAGAACTTTTTACTGGCTACCCTCTATTTTAGTTAAATTGCCTTCTTGTCAATAGGAAACGCATTTATATTAGCAAGTATCAAACCAAAATTATTTACGAAAATCTCATAAAATATTTTTCTTAAAAATTAAAATGAAGTTTACTTATAATTTCAACATATAAAATAAATCGTTTCATAAAATTGTCAAGTTAAAATTTGTCATAACAATGCTTCATTTGTCTTATTCATCAGTATTAAAGTCTTAATGTCTTTCGATTATTAAAACATATTTTGAAATACCTGATATTACCACGTGTGACGTTGAATAAACGTGCTCAGGTGTCCCTGAACCATTCAGTAGCTTTTAGATCCCATTTAGAAGAGTAATGAGACATAAAAATATTTTCACAAAACTGCCGTCTACAATATTTTATATAATTTGTAATAAAAATTCGAATAAAAATGATTATGTTAAGATTTAACTGTTAGTCTAGACATGGGATAAGAAACGATAAGAATGAATAATCAAATATAACGCTTAAGGGAATAGACTGACTATATACTATGTTATTTGATACTTATTGAATATATTACATACTATGCTCACTATTATAGTTATTTTTAGATCATAAACATGAGACTTTATTGTTAATAAAACAGTCACGAATATGGGAAATACTTATAGCCACATACTTACGTTATGAAGAAAAAAAAGTTGTGGCACTATAACAACTAATTTATATTTTAGAAAATTATTTCGTATATTAATTTTTTAAGCGTTATTATACAAAAGAAAATCATAAATAAATAAGCATATGTAGCGATTACATCTAAATACAACTGCCTCGGAATACGTAACCTCTCAGTTCACTTCTACATATAACGACTGACATTTATACATTTCATTGGTACGATTTATTTTGTACTTGAGTGATGATTTTTTTTTCCACTAGGATCTTACCCGAAAGCTATGTAATATCTCACTGCGGTTAGTTATTGCTGAGTATCGATAAAAATATGTATATAATACATTTTACTGATTTATAAATTTTAAATGCTTAAATCTGTTATATTATTAATCATACTAATGACAACATTTTAACAACTGTAACTACGAAGAAATCATAACAGATCATTTTGAAGTTTTCAGGAGCGGCCTTAAAATTATGCAGTCTATATTAAACAAATCGAGAACTATACAACTTGTTGTTACTTGTGCCTTTTTTATATCTAATATTTATAATCTTACTATTTCTGAGATGATTTAAGTTTGAAGTTACGTGTAATTAAATACATTTATCAATCAAATACACTCGCACATTTAAAACCAAACGTACTATCTTCAACATTATATAAATATTTTATATTATCGTACTGTATAACCTAAGTTCTTATTTTATTCCTTAAATTTATATTTCTATAAATATTGTTGAATACTTTTGCAATAAGAATAATTTAAAATAAAAAATCCATTACATAAAATCTGATTTCAGTTTCCTAAAATGTACAGCAACAAAAGCTTTGATTAAAGAACGTCTTCAATATGAATTTATATTACAATAACTTTAATTTAAAAAAAATCTTTCAGATGTTAACACTTCAACGAAGTAGAAAAATCATGTCCATTTCAATAGACAAAAGAATGTACGAAATCGTAAAACAAAATCATTCACTTGTGAATGAGTGTTAAAAGAGTCAGCGTCATCGAATCGAAAGCGAAAAAAAAACGAATAATTAACAAAATTTTTAACCCAAAATTGTATCAAGTACCGTGGACTTTTTTCACATATAATTTCCCATAAATCATAGTAAAAATTAATGTTCATAGTGAGTTTGGTTTGAGGAGAATTTAATAATTAAACTTGTTTATGTACACATATATACAAAACAGACTGTCCATTCCTTTTTTATTGGTGCTACTGTCTGTTATATGGCTCCCAAGATCATGGCTCCCACTAATCTGAATCAGTTTTGAGTCTCATATCACTAAAAGTTAGTTTTAAAATTATGTATTCGTTTAATACAAACGTATTAAACGTAAATTATCTCCTGTTTCATTTTGATGAGTTGCCGCGTTACATGGTCAATGAAACTTAATATTTGTCAAATAATTAGGAAAGGTGTATGAAAAGCTTATAAATATTAAATTTTATCGTACAATTAACAAGCTAGTGAATAATTTTTCTGATCACCAAATCTTAATTTTAATACTAAAATTGTATAATAAAATAAAATTATATTATAATTTTAATACTAAAATTATAAATCTTAATTTTAATTCTAAAATTATATACACAAAAATCGAGTATTGTTCAGCATCATTGAGTTTTTATATTATATATGTATATTGATATATTTTTCTCATTCTATTGAGTTAAAATAGTGAAATTCAGCCAGTAAAAAGTTATTAAAAAGGCTGGTAAAATACACATAACAGGTAAGTTTACTGTGACATAATTTTAGTTCTGAATAAAGACGTTTGCATCACCTTTATAGTCATTATGATAATATGGTCGCTTAAATAAAATAAAAAAACTAGAGTAAGATTCTTGAACTTTGATTTTTATAAGAAAAGTCTGTAAATTGTTAAATTATTTTATATGAACTACTTTTTTGTACACCTAATTGTATAATTTTTACTAACAATTTAGATTTTCAACATTGTATTGAAACTTCTATAATAAATCTTTAGTTTTTAAATAAAAAAGAGCAAAATTTTAGTTTTAATCGGTAAGCAGATATCTTGAATTAGTCATGAATAAGAACAATTTATTTTAAAGGAAAGGTTAGACGATAGAAAATGAATTCGGTGTCGCATCAAGCACTCGATTTACAAAGATCGGATTAAACTCAACTTCTTTCAAGTCTTTGATCCATTAGAACCACATTCATCATTAACTTTAGTTCTATAAAATTTCAATCTTTGTAGTTCAAGCCTTCTTTCGTAAATTCCATTATAATACAAGATTATTATTCAGCCTTAAATTTTATCATATTTAACTTTAGAATTTAATAAGTATTTCGTCTTTATAAAAATATTAATAAGAATGTTATAAATAATGTACCTTTTTAGACCTTATAAGAGAAAAGATTCTCAGACACATAAGGACATTTATAGACGCAAGATTTGTTACGGTTTTATAAGTCATATATCCCTTTTGTACACACTGAATACACAAAAGGAACGTCCAAATGCTCAGTGTTCCAAAGGTTTTAGTTCATCCTTGTTTGTTATTGTCAATCATCAGAATTGTTTGACCGTAAGAAGTGGTGTAATTGATATGTTTAAGCTCTGAACTAAGGATAATAACAGTACCACATATCAGGAAGTAGTCATGCCTTATAATAAGCAAATATGGGATTTCAACTGGCTCACTGTGAGCTAATTGTTAAAAACTACTAAATCCTGCTATTTAAATACCTCTAAGTGCGTGTTTATGTACATTTAAATCACACGAAAACTGCATAGATCTTTAGTTATTTTTTGTTTCTTAGAAATTAAGGAATAATTAATTATAATAACTTGGTTGTGAAACATCAACATTGTTTAACATAATGAAAAAAATAACAGTTTTTGGCCCATATTTAGTTAATTAGACACTACTTTTCGATGTCATACAGTTATTCCTTAGATCTTTAATATAATTCAATAGCATCGAATCTAACTTAATATTCCACAAAAGCGATTCAAGAATTCTACTAAAGTATTCCATAGTTATTGTTTTACTTCAGTTACTTTACAACGCATTTATCAAAAACAAATAACTCAAAAAGGGTATCAACCACGACAATCATCTTACAAATTTTCCCCTACACCTGATATATATTTATTGCCTTGGCGAGATTCAAAGATACTAGTACTACATCAGTGAGAACTATCCCTCATACCAGTCGTCACAGGATTTAGTTCAAAGTTTTTGATAAGATCAATGAGCCACACATGAAACAGTTTATTAAACCGTTTCACAGCTTTTGTAATAATAGACGCAATTTTAAATGATACATTGGTATTGGACTGTTAATTTACTAATGCTTTTTTATATTTATAGTTATTAATTTGTAGAAAAGTTACTTATTATATAGAAAATTCAAAACTGATATAATAGTTTTCGCTTCTTTAATGAACAGCTTTTGTTTTGAATTCATATACATATATTATTTTTTTCACTGCTATTTACTTGTTAGCGCTTTTCAATAACTTATATTTTCTTTTCTTTATTCCATAAAAACTATTATAATAACTAAAAAACATTAATTAATTAATATTCTATAAATTTGTAGAACCTAGCTGTGGTCAATTACTACAGCTCGTACATGGGCTGGCTCGACCGGGGAAGTACCACCCTCTCACAGAAGATCGGCGTGAAGTAGCCTTTGATGGCTGCGTTTCGTCCGATGAGTGAGAGAGCCGGTTGCCCTTTCCCTATTCCTACCCTTTCCTAGAATTTCCTTATTCCCACCCCTCCCTATCCCTAAAAAATAAGATTGGCAACGCATCCGTAATAAAGATGTTGCGGATGTCCATCTGCGACGGTAACCACCTTCCATCAAATGGGCCGTCTGCTCGTTTGCCACCTTTCACATAAAATAATAATAATAATTCGACAATTTTTCAAAAGGAACTACACATTGGTTATACAGATTAGAAAAACATAAAAAACTTATGACAAAAATATTTCCATCGAAATGGTCTCGTCTGAATTATGGGTAACCCTATATAAACATCGACAAACACATTTGCATATGATTGAATGTAAAGCGTTTTCCAGCCGCCTCCTATAAGAAGTTATGACGAATAAAAAAATATTTTCTATTAAGAGACATTTTTTATTTTACAAAAATATGTGAAGTAATAATAAGCCTTAACTCGAGCATATACTTTGAAAATTTCAATAAAATTAAAAATGAAATGTTCTACATAAATTTTACTTAACAAATTACAAATTAACCTCCCTCTTCATAGTCTCTGATTCGTTACAGGAATATTGTAAATTAAATAAAACGAATATTGGAATCTCGTAAATTATAATTTATTAAATAAAAAAAATGTATATACATATTGAAATAATTAGTGAACTGATTAATAATATAGCACTTTATGTTATTCGCTATAACAATGGACATTTGATTCATCGTCATCAGCCTATCAGAGCCCACTGCTGAGCAAAGGCCTCTTTCTCACGTGGAGAAGGTTTGAGCATTAATCACCACGCTTGCTCAAGACGGGTTGGTGATTTCAAACTTATAATTGTGAAATTACAAGTCCACTTTTCCTTAAGATGTTTTCCTTCAGTCTGTCATTTGATTCACCATTCATAAATTATAAAGTATAGATCTCATTATAAAAAGTATAATTTTCAGAATAAATGGTTTATTAAATGCAATATACTAGTGTGGAATTTGACAAAAAGTCACAGCATGTTATATAACATGTTCTACGATTATAATATATTCCTATCCTAGTTATGTGTCAAGATTCAATTGTATAGAAAACAGTGTTTCTCCTTAGTATTCAGCAAATGTTGACCGAGTCGGTTACTGTTGGAGATCACTGAAGCGAAAAAAGATGAAAGTCAGAATCGCTGAACGAAGTGCTCTCAGTCATGGAAATGTTGTTATACACTTTATGAATACTTTCATAGAGATTATCATACAATATTCATTAAGACGGACTTGTGAAAAACTGTATGAAAGACAATTTAAAATCTACCTGCCATTAAAATTTAAAAGCTTATATTAAATTTAAGACTCAAATCTTCCCTATCAAACATTTCGTATCTAATACTCTCGTTTATGGCAGATATAAACAAATTTTTTGTAAAAATTTCAAATTCCAATAAGATTTCATATAAAAGATATGAAATAAATTAACTTTATTCCGAACTTTCGAAATAGGCTTATAAATAACCGTTCTAAGCTCAAATTGATAGATACGGTCATAAATAACTGTTTCATACAATGATATTTTACAAACGCCTGCGGCCGATCACATAACTCTCAGACCAAATAACGTTATAAAATATAAATAAATAAAGTCTGATGCGAACGCCATAAATATTCTTAGTGAGACAAAACTTCAAAACTGTTACCGATGAATAATAAAATTTTAGATATGGAAAAAAACAAACTTTATTTTCTCTACAGAAATACATCAAAACATATACCACATACGTTTTATATAATAATATAAGAAAAATATATATGTCGTTTACCTAACCTGTCGGTATTTCAATTATTATTTTATCCTCTTCATTATAGAACTGGCTCGCCTAAATCAGTCAAACACTCTCAAATCTTGTTTATAGATAACCACATTCAATTCCGTGACGTAACTTTGTAATACAAGTAACTATAATAAGATCTTGTTCCTTGACAATAAGCATTCGTTCATATAAGAAATTCAATGCCATTTAATCTGCACAGAAGTCATCATTACCGGATATAATTGAAGAGCACATTCAATGATGTCACAATCCAAAGCGAGTGATTCAGAAAACAATAATAATGATAAGAAATTTACGAGTGAAATTGCCCATGAAAGTACCTCAATTTAGCTTCGGAATGAATCTTCGAGTACCATTGAATTCAAATTGTAAGTCAAGAAAAGCTTTGATCTTCGATACTCAACTTGATTGAAATAATTGCTCAAATATCGCGCAATGGATATTTGTAACAATTTCGATAATAATCAAATCAATTCAATTGTAAATCGAGTTTACACTAATATTTTATACTTAATTAGGAGTCCATTATCTCAAATATCATTGATTTCCTCCCGTGGAATCTCTAAGTTATTATATTGAATACTATATGTTAATTATATTGATTATTATATGTTTATTACAAATCCGATAATTTGCATTAGATACATGTAGAACCTAAAAATATAGCAAAAAAGCTTTTGTTACTCTAGACACAACATACATGTAGAATTGGCTGGAACTTTGATTGGTTTAAAATTGAATGAAGCTCTTAAAATACAGTATACCACCAGATCCAACAATGCTTTTCCCCAAAAAAAAAGGTTTTTTATATCTCAACTGATCACATTATTTATGTCACCATAAAAAAAAAACAAGTTAGACATTAAAATTTATTGGACTAGCTATGGTCCGAATAACCTAAATAGGTCGTAGTAGAAAGAATCATACTTAATTTAATTTTATTAATATTTCAAATAAAATATAAAAATTATTTTGAATAGGGCTTATTAAAAATAACTACCATGTAACTCTAAAAACGGCACAAGTAGTACTCTTGTTTGTAATAATGTTAAAGTATCTTCCAGTCAAAGTCCATACTTTTACATATTTCCACAAACAATATTAGACTTTGTGTGAAACATATAACGTTTTTAAAATTCAATAAATTTGTGAAAATGCAGAAAATAGCACTAATAACTTACTGCATGACGTACAAAAATACTTATATTAATAAATTAAAACGAAGTAGGAAATTTTAAGGGATACGTGTAAGTTTGTAAAAACATATTAGTAAAAATGAGTAAGATTTATTATTTTTCTAAAATCGAAGTAATTTTTTTTACAACACTTGACACACACTTCCAGGAACAAGTTAATTGGTTACGATTACATTGACAAATTCTGAGGTGTCATATCATATTTAATTTAGATTTGCCGCCCATTATATTTCGTAAATATGTTACAATAATACTACTTTTAACTTAATGTTTAGCTAAAAATATTTATCCAATAAGTACTGTTCATTTGAATCTATACATAATAAAATAACTTGCACATTTTAAAAAGAAATGCTTTAAAATGACCCTAATAATAAAATACTTCTTAAAATATGTGATCATGTGCATCGTGTAACAATACTTTTCGGGAATTTTTCGGAAATATTATAGTACGAAATCGAGATATACAAGGGAATAATATTTCATAGCCTTTTACATTTTGATTTTTAATATTTCCCATATTTATTGAATATATATTTCATGATTTTCTTACAATACGAAGTGTCGACTGATATTACAATTGTACTCTAATTAATACCTTAATAACATTTCAATGAAAGCATCAAGTGTTCCTATCATTGTGATATAATGAGATGACAAGTGAATAAAGAGATCAATAACACCAGCGAGCGATATTTTTATGTCAAACGATAATGCATACGTTTCTCAGTTTAGAAAATATATATAGTAATACACAAAAAGACGTAAATGAAAGTTAAATTTGTATGAAAAAAAATGCCAAATTGTAAATAAAAACTGAAAATGTGTTATAAAGTTTCAAAAAAAATATTTTTTTATTTCACTTTTTCAATCTTATTCAAGCTCTTTATTTCTTATGTAGCATAAATAATATTTTATGAAAACTTTGACCCCTTTTTTACTGCGATGACATCAAAGTTTATTTAGTTTATAAAACATAAATTCCTTTTGAATTTCGTATCGTTTATAGGGCTTTGTTTTTTCTATTGTTTCTTTTTGGGGGAAAGTAATCACTATCTTTTAAAGCAATGGTAGGTTAATGAGAGATGTAATGTGTTATGTGAGCGAGGTAAAAGTTTTATATCACTTTATATGCACTAAAATCACATTTTGATCATTTAATATCTAAATAAAAGTATGAATTAAAAGTAAATTGGAATAAGAGGAAATTGAAAGCTCTCGAATGATAAAACAGGAATGACAAGTTTGTAAAGTTATGAGTCCAACATTATTTCATAGTTGTTCACTGAATAAAATAATACAAAAGTTATTATATATATTTTTATATAAACAAGGTTTCAGCACAATTAGTTCATAAAAATTCAGGTAGTTACATGTCAAAAGTGAAAATTCATTTTTGAATTTCAGGTTTAAAATATACCTTTATTACGAATAACAAAGTTTGAAAAATTTAATATAGATGTTATATTTTGCAATTCTTTCTATAAACTATAAAATTACAAATCATTGAATAGGATTCCGAAAGAAAATTTACTATATAAAATCTACATCCCAAACTATTACATACGTTAAAATATATAGAATAAATATTTCGTGTAATTGTTAAAGCGACTGTAACTTAACATTTTATTTAAGTAAGCACGCTTATTGCTATATTTTATACCTGAATTACTTAAAGCAAGATTCCTAATGGTCATACATTTTTAAGCAATTTTTAAATTTGTCTGATATCTTTAAACTATTAGTTTGTTTATATTTTAACAAAATTATTATAATTTTTTATCAGTAACTCACCTTAAGAGACCTTACGTAACCTTATTACACTTTATTTTATTATGTTTGAAAACTACATACTCCCGACGTTTCGGTTACTTTGCAGCAGCCGTGATCACGGACAGACGAGATGTAATGAGATGTAAACTCACCTAATACTGTGATGGAGCTCGACACCAACATACTGAGAAGCCAGACGAGTGCGATTTTTATTACAACGAGACGCTTGGTTGAATGATGGCGACTCTTCAGAGGGTTCCGAATGCCGAGGTACCTATAAAATGAACATATTTTAAAAACATAGTCTGCATTTATAATAATTTCAAAGTAGTAAAGACAATTCATAGAGACTAATGAGAATATATATTCATAGACACCAATAGTACTACCTATGTTATAAAGAGCCTATATAGTAATATATGGTTATAGTATATCCCAAACAAAGATGTCGAAGTGGTATAAATTTCTTTTATTAATTACTATCATTACAGTTATACACCTAAGTTACCTTGACTATAAAATCGTAAGATGCTTTAAATAGTACGTGTTTTGCTTATTCATCCGAAAAAAACAGAAAAAAAATCAAAATAAATGCCTAGTAAACATTTAAAATAAATCTAAATGTAACAAATTATAATTTGAGACGGACGTCAGAATTTTTCCTTACAAACATCATTTTCAAATAAGAAAAATATTCGCTTAGAGAAACATTCTTAAAACAAAGTTTTAGACGTTGATCTCATTTTTGCTTTTACAATTAAAGATAATGAGGAAGATAAAAACTGTCTTCATTAGGCTGTAATCTGGGTTCCGAACGATCATTGGTTGGGCTTCTTTTAAGGGAATTAATTCATTCATTCGTTTTATTTGTAAAAGATCCCTGGATTATGAAATAAAAGAAGTTGATATTATATTTTCATCGTGAACAAGGAAAAATAAATAACAAAAGCTGAATCTTTTGTTTAGATATTTTTTTAATTCAATATAAGCGAGTATACCATTTTTAGATACAAAATAAATGAAATAAGCAAATCGAATATGAATTCCAAGTAAAATGAACTCGTACTATACACGAATTTTGGAATCAGTTTGTTGTAAAAATGCATTTTAGTCTTTTCATTGGTTTCATTTTGCAATAAACGCTTAATATTCTTCTTTATATTATTAATATTTTATATACAGTTAATATATAAAATAACATATTTGTTAGCTCGTTTTAAGATTATATTTATATTTAGCATTTCATAATTTACAACTATTTTAGAGAACCACTGGAAAAGGACCTCTAGAACACATTAAGAAGTGAAGGTTTTTTATTTTTGTCACTCTTATGGACCTACATCTCATCACAAAAATCTTTAAAAGTATTGAATGTAAATTTAAACTGTTTCAAAATTACATTTATAATAAGTATTAATATTTAATTTTACACATTTATCTCCTTTAAATGCCCTTTTTAGTTTTGATTGTTAAAACAATCAAAAATGATCAATTTGAGCAACTAATAAACAAGAAAGATTCTTGTTAAAGTCAAATGAAATTACTATTTCCATCTGTCGCTTTAAAGCGTTTATATAGAGAATTCCTGTCAACTATTCGGTTTAAACATCTAACATATCACGTCATGTATCCACAATGTGCTCCAGTTATCTGAAAATTTCGAAAGCAATGCAAAATGCCATAACAACAAATCTAAACTCTATCCGTTCATATAAAGATAAACCTGTCTTAAAACTTAACTTCTCAGATAGTGTGCAATGAAATCTAATGTTTCGTCTATCAACATAGCTAACTTTTATAAGGAAAGTATTTTCGTATTCAAACTTATAACAAAGGAATTCCTGTAGCAAAGGAAATTGTTTTTTTAAACTTTCAATTGTCCGTTATTTTGCCTTTCTTTTGAATTGTCTTTAAAGAAAAAGTATGAAAAAAATATATGATATTGTTTCATAAAGTTTAACATAACATCTAGAATAATTGTGTTCCAAATAGAATAAAACATATGCTACGATGTTTTTTTACTTAAAGAATTTCTTAAATCTAACATTTATTTTAGAATTTTTATTTTGTTTATTATAAAAGTAATATTAAATCAATCGATTATAAATTTATGTTTAACATTATTCACGGAATTCATAGTAAACATTATTATATTTATATCGTAAATTAAAAATGATTTACTTCCCAACTATAAAACCTTAAAATATACACTGACTTTATTGATGTTATAAAGTTTACTTCATAGTTTCTGAGCCGACGTGACAGTTAAACAGATGATATTCACAAAATAAACAAAGCTAAATATTTGAAGTAACTGAATTTAATATTCAATAAAGATTTTACGAGATCTAATGTAGAAAAAAATTCAACTCACACTATTTACTACAAGAGAAAAATAGCAGTTCATTGAAATCGTAGTTCATGAATATATGTATTATACAATATAAAAATTATCAATATTAAATACTAGCTTTCCCGCGTGGAGTTCGGTTATATCGCGTTTCCACGAGAACCTTTCAAAAGTCTGGCATAAAAACTATCCTATGTCAACTCAAGGTCAACTCTATCTCTGTACCAAATTTCATTAAAATCAGTTCAGTGGTTTAGGCTTGAAAGCGTAACAGACAGACAGATAAGAGTTACTTTCGCATTTATAATATTAGTAGGGACTAGTAGGGATTGAAAATGCAAAAAAGATATTATTCTGTTTTTTTTTTATTTTCATTTAGACATCTAGGTTTAAATTGTACAAATTTTTGTCTACTTGTAAAGAAATACGAAAGTAATCCCATACGCCAAGACGTCTCAATTTTGCAGACCTATGTTCCGAGACTTATTATATGGACAGAAAGGTTATTTTTAGACGTAAAATATATGCTTCTATTTAAGGCAAATGAAGTATTATATTTTTAAATATAATGACGTGCTATTATATTTATCTTTATAAAAATAAGAATATCAGTAAATATTTTAATAATTTTATAACAATATTAAATTATTACAGTATGTACTTGTGTAATTATGCTTGTTCGCATTGAATATTGGAAATCCATTCTGAAGAGATTTTACCAGTTCACATACAACTATGTATATATGTATATTGTAGGAGTATGAGAGGGTAGAAGAGGGACGAATATATGAGCAGTTGTCACAGGCGATCTTTTTTGGTTCGTAACGCGTTTGTGTGATAAATTAATCGATCTTACATATATGGAGTGTGTTTAAATTTTTCGTTTGTGTTCGATGTTGTTCATTTTATATTTGGATTTCATTTCACAAAGAGATTTAAGTCGAGATAGTTGAGACTTATTTATTTAACGTTGTTTTTAGTTTTGTATAAATTTTATGAATTAATAGTGAAATTGTATTCAATATCATTTTTAAAAACGAAAATTTTGAGCTTGTTTCTTCACTGTGATTATACTTATTTTTACATCTATTTAAATATGATTTAATAAATTTTATTTTTTGTGCTCTTTTTCGTTACAATGGAAAGAGACGACTGCAATATTTGTTACAGATTTAATATAAAATTCAATTTGTAATATTCTCCCGCGGGTTCCTTTGTTCGTTAAATACTGCGACTCCTACAAATCGTTTTAGATAATACATTTTGATAAAAAAAGCTGTTAAACGATGAGAAATATTTAAAGTCTCAGTGGTATTACGCCAGTTTCCCCGTGTTACAGACTTACATTTATATGAAATAGAGCGATCATTTAAACTGTGTCTCAATTCTATAAATGTATGAACTAGACACTTGGGGATGATATTGAAAGATTGTGAAGAATTATGAAAGATATTTTAAAGCAAAAAGATGGTAGAAACTTTAATATAAGTTTCCCTGCTTTTTCATTTTCATTTTGAGATATTTTTTTTAAGTAAATTCAATTCTATCCGTCTATTTCAAAGTACCATATACAAGTTTACTGTAAATGTACATATATCTTCTGTAAATTTAAGTCTAAATTAAGAGATGACTTGTTCAATTCACCGATCAGTTTTATATTTAAAATATTATTTATATTAAAAATATTATTAATGACTCGATAAAAATAACTTTGATGAAAAAATAATTATAATTTTTATCTCGATACCCTAATGCAATAGTCAAAATGTGCGATGAGTGTAAATTTTATAAGGCCTATTTATGATAAATACCTATTTTATATTATATCTTCTGAAGTATATTGGTTATTGGCTACACCTTTCTTATTATAAGCTAGAAGTAAACAAATGATTTCTTGCTTAATATACGTTAGGCTCACTCAGAGATACATTATTATAATTGTCTTAAGAGCCTCTTAGTACTTATATTATGAAGAAGAAAAGAAGGTTAGGACCCTTCAGAACAAGTTTTGTATTCAAAAGTTTAGAATTACAATATTAGTTAACTAACTTGAGGTTTTTATTAAGCTAATTTTACAAAAAAAGCGGTGTAATATATTAAAAATTAAAGAAGTGAATTATATTGTTGTTTATTTTATGAATTGTCTTAGAATATTCCAAGACGTTTCCATATTTTCTACGTAAGTATAATTACATATTTTAATCTCAAGTGGTGCAAAATTTCCATCAGGGATTTTAATTAAGATATTCATGTTTTATTATTTAAAACTTCGACTTCAAATAAACTGAGGCTATATAAAACGTATAGTCTTCAAATTTGGCATTTATTTTTAATACAATAAAAAGGGGGAAAGGTCTTGAATAACTTTAAAATACTGAAAACACTAACTTAATCGTTGTTTTAATACTAGTAACATTCTTTTAATTATTTTATATTCTCTAAAGTAAATTTTCTTTCCCTTGATATAATAATTTAACTTTAAATGGCCTTTTAACTTTATCACCAGATTTTTTTTTTTTTGTTGTATAGTGTTTCGGTGTCTTTTTATTTTAATTAACAAATCGAAGTGTTTTAACCAATGCTTATTCTAATGTATATTTGACCTACCTCACCCTCGAATCGGCCGAAATCCACGGTAATTTAGTAAACAAATAGTATAAACAAATAAAAGAAATACTAGAAGATAGTTAGAATATAACTCAAAATTATAAACATATTATTCAAAACTGAATATTCGTCGAAATATAATAACTCTACCGTGACATTTTCAACTTAACAACTGTCGTCAAATTTGCTCACAAACTGTACGGTTAAGATTTTTCAAACAACCTTGTTACTGTGAGAATTTTGAATTTTATTACGGTAAAAATGCAGAATTTAATAACCCTATATGAACATCCTGTGTAGTATAAGATATGGTAATAATGGTTTCATTTAGATTCAACTTAGCTGTAACTATTAAAACAGCCATACAAGCAACTGCACATAAAGATTTATTTTATTAACTGTTTATTATGCAAATGTTCGACCTTAAACCGCCCCGTACACTAAGTTTAATCATTTAGGGTAAAAGTACGTAATACAACGTCCAATTACATTTTATAACCCGCTTATTTCCTCCTTCATATTCTCCTTGCAAATCTAAGATTATAAGGGAAATTTGAAATCGTTTAGATTTATCTTAAAGCATATTATTACAACATTAGATGTGATGATTGTAAAATAACATGAAAGCAAATTCAAAGCAATTCATAAGGACTCTAAGTAAGCCACATTGTATTTTACTTTTATTTATTTGAACGTTTTCTTCATGTAATACGTGTTGTAAGAAATCTTAACAGATTGCTTGCTTATTAACTTTAACGATATGTAGGTACTAACTATTTAAATTAAAACACGTCTGTTTAAAAAAAATTGCAACTTGAATATAAAATGTTCCTTTCAGCTTTGTGATCCAAGTTTTAAAAGTAATATTTTCATCTGGTTAACCTTGAAAGAAATTTTAAGTATGTTAATGATGTATTACGTTCATGAACTCGTTAAGGAGGCTTTCGTTTCTCATATCTAACCCAATTTCCACTCTCAGCTTAGTAAATGACTGCTGTTTGTATAGGAGACGAGACTTTAAACGGTGAACACTAGTCTAAGTGTTCTATAAACTTGTGTGGCTATATCTGTATGCCATTATTAAAGTATGGTGTTTGCCAAAATGTATCTAACGCTTGTACCATGTAGAAGAACAGCGAACCCATAGTCTGGAGTTTCTTATTGGGTTACATGTTTAGTTAAACTGTGCACTAAATGGACACTTAAGCTTTTGGCTCCGAAACCGAACTGTTTATTTGAGATAGTTTTATTTTTTACTGCGAACAGAATGGAAATGAACAATTTTAATACTAAAACTAGTTTTAAATTACGGTGAAATACGAACTAGCCATCATTCCATTTAAGTTTGTAGTTATTTAATAAGCATAAATAAATAGCTATAATAATAATAAATTATTATAAGAAAAGCAATTAAAGAACTTTAATGCTATATAGTTAAAATCAGTTTGACAGTTACAAATAAAATGTAAACTATAACTTCTTGAAGTTAAAAAAAAAAAACCTTTGAGTTAATAAATATGAATTAATTAATTAAAGATATGAAGTAGCCATCCATTTTGAGAGCTGTAATATTTCTTTATCAAGATGTTTTGGTTTAAATAATAACCCGATAATATATAATTCGTACACGGTTGTGACACCTAAAACTTTGAAGGAGTATTTTCGTAAATTTAATACGGACCGTACAGTTAGATAAATTTTATAGGCATAATGAATTGTATAGAGCAAAAAAATATTTTTGATTTTAATAATAACATAAACAAGGATGTTTTGACCCAAAATCAAAATAGCAAAAAAATGCATGATCCATAAAAGCATGCATTTCTATGCTTGTGTTCTCAATTTAAAGACACCAATTTTATGACTCATCTACCTATAAACTTTAAAAAGCTCTTTAGCAATTACAGCTCTTCGGTTAATCCTGAAAAAAGTCATATTAAATAATTAGTATATATCATACAACATAATGTAAAAACGTGGGTGTAACGCTCAATTTTCTGACGCTTTGATGAAAAGTAGCCGAAACGTCGAGACTATGTAGTTTTTTACAAAGATAAAGCACGCGTAGTATATCCGAAAAATATTAGTTTCATTTAAATGAATAAAATTCGCGAAAGTGACACAATTACTTGATTGATTAAAATAATTGTGTTATTTGGATAGTGACAGAAAATTCATTACATTCTTTCGTAGCAACTACAGTGAATGATTCTCACATGACAGCAGTGTGATGTTTAGGCATTGTTATGTTCAGACTTTGACTGTCGGGGAGCGTCCTGCCGTGAACATCAGAACGAAATTGAAATTGCGACGAGAGGTATTGCGAACTGGGGGAGCTTATAGAGGATGGTGTACAACATATATATGACTCTCGTTTGTCGGCTCTCATGGACACTAAGACTTTATTTGCTAACAAAGTCTGGAAATATGGTCGAACTTACAAAGATTGTAAATATACTTATAACGGCACTAAACAGGTGTTCAAATTAATTCAATAATTCATGATTTAGATGAAAAAGCTAAAAGAGACATAAAAAATTTAAACTACAAAATACCCAAAATGTTTCCTCAAAGAGAAACACATGACTTGTCAGATTTCAATGAGGTTATGGCAAAATGTGTTATGGTGTGTTGGTAAAGCTATAAATTATTGACGTAAATTTATTACTTGTAACTTTAATTATAAAGAAAATAAAATATGGAAAAATTGAGAATAATAAAGGAATAACATACCCCTTTAAGGAACCCTGAGTCAATATCATAGTTGTCGCCATATGATTCTACACTAACGCAAGTATTCTTTTGAAGTGCACAAAGTTAGGAAGAGAAACATTATAAAGCAGGTTTGAGATAATAATTTGTGAAAAAATAACCAGTCAATAAGAACTATAATATCTTTGTTCTCGGTAGCTTTACGAATGTCAATGACTTTAAGTAACACACTGTGACCCTGGCTAAACAATATTTAGTTCTTGACCGAAAATGGAGCTACGGAAGGACCACCGACCTGACCTGCAGTCGTAGCTTCTCCTTGGACCCCATTCCAAATTACACGAGCAACATCTTAAAACAGGCTTAGGTTGATACAGAATAGAAGATCATTACACACCAACATCCCGCGAAAGGAAATGGTGGGTAAAAGGAAAAGGCAACCTGACTCATCGAACGAAAAAAAGACTACTTCACGCCGATCTTCTTTCTTTGAGAGGTTGGTACTCCCCCGGTCGAGCCAGACCATGTTCGAAATATAGTCGTATGACGACAGCTAGGCTCTACCATCTCTAAAGCAAGATTTATTACTTCTAAAATTTGAACTGAAATCGTTTGTTTCCAACTCTGGACAGTAATAGTTCAAGATACATTCGTATTACGTTTATATTCATGTTGTTTTAATTATTTACTCTGTAAATCTTTGAATGTGACGTTTCATAGATATATTGAAGTCTTCAGACACACCATTTAGTACTTGAGTAAGTTGACCTACATCTGAACTACTTGTTTTTACTCCCGAAGTTGTATGATCGAATCCTTAATTTTGCCATCTTCCGGCAGTTCCATTTTGGTACTTAAGTAAACCATGTAAATCTTCTAAATGTTATTCTTATGAGATGTAACTATCCCAGTCATAGTATATAATAAATTTAATTTAAGTCTGTAAAATAATGAAATAGGTACTCGTAATAATAAGAAATATATTTCATTTTTGTGATGTATTACAAAAAAAATATTAGATCCAATTTTTCCATCTCGATGAGCTAATAGAAAAGATAGTATCACGTTATTTGCGATTTCGGAGATCTTATCCGATTCATTCGCTTGAGGGATTATAGTTTATTTATATCACAACATTATTTACGAGACAACGTTAAGACTTAACCACGTATAAATTTCAAATTTCTTTTTCATATTAATCCCTACTAATATTATAAATGCGAAAGTAACTGTCTGTCTGTTACGCTTTCACACCTAAACCACTGAACTGATTTTAATAAAATATGGTACAAAGATAGTTGACGTTGAGTATGGTACAAAGATAGTTGACTATGTTCTTTATAGGATAGTTTTTATCCCAGACATTTGAAAAGTTGGCTCGATATAACCGAACACGACGCGGGCGATGCCGCGGGCGCAAAACTAGTGTTTTCATATAATAATGATGGAAAAATAAAAATCTATTTAAAACCTTACTTACCTGCCAATACTGATAAAGCACATGTGCATGATACTGGCAGAGCAAGCGAGCACATCACAAGTCACGTACACGTTACACCACACGACGCCTAGGGGCCAGTAACCTGGACATAGGAAATTGAACCATATATAATGTAAAGAAAAATGACTAATTTCCTACAACCATCACTTCAAATAATGTATCTTTTTAGTTTAAGGTAAATGCTTGCTAGATTCCTGCAAAACTGCAGGTTATTTCTCAATTTGCCACCTGATGGAAGTGTGTTATAATTAAATATAATATAATTGTTTTTTATTGCGTTTATTACTTCTATATACGCAGAAATAAAATTAATGTAACTTTTAATTTGATTTTAATATTAACAAAACAAACATCACTGACCCTGTCTAACCATTGTCTTTTGAAAGAAATTGAAATTTTATTATTTTTCCCAAAATATCGTATATGTACACTTTTGTATTTCAGAAGTGGATAGTAAATACGCTGCTGAACTAAGTTGCAGTCAAATTCTAAACTAGCCCAAACTTATTATTTTTTAAATGAATCCATCTTCAATTTATTGTCTTAAAATTTTGGACCTAATTTAAAGACGAAAATATTTTCTTTCATTTAATAAGACTACAAAAAAACTTACCCAAGAACCCTGGAATGGCTCCCATCGGCATCACAAACAGACTGACTAGTAAATCAGCAATAGCTAAGGATAATAGAAAATAGTTTGTCACGTTTTGCAATCTCTTGTCCAAACACACGGCTAAACAAACCAGAATATTGCCAACACCACCGGCCACTATAAATAATATCACAAATAAAAAACTCCATTCGTAAGTCACTTCACCAGCTTCACCCGTTTTATTAGCGAGGCCCCATTCACATTGGAACGTATTATATAAAGAATTATTCACTATCCCACCCACTGTGTCGATGTAGAACGTCCGATTTGAAAAATCATCATAACAAAATAAGGTATCCCATTCACATAATCCAAAGTCTGGTACCTTCAACCATAATTTTTTCAATGCGTTCTCATATAAAATAGACATCATATTCAACTTAAGTCTAGTATTACACAAAGTGTGGTTGCTTCTTTTATCCAAGGAATTATTTGAACATTGGAAGCAATTGTAAGAAGTTTCATCTTGGAAATACAAATTCAATTCGCAACTGTAGTCTATAGAATTTGAGTCGCTAATACACTCAAGACCGGAAGATAGGGTTTCGTTTACACAGCTTCCGGTAGAAATCAATTGGCATTTTAAATCATCTAGTGTTGGATTTACGGTACTGAAATTCGTCATATCCAATCTCGAGCTTATTTATTTGGTTAGGTGACTCTCTCTTGCAACATTGTTGATGTTTTATTGTTTTAAGTGCCTAGTGTTGATGCTTATCTGAAACAAAATATTTTACATAAATATCTAAAAACAGAGGATTTAAGAATAAAAATTACATTCCGTACACTTTCACATAATAAGTAACTATGTACATGACATGTATGAAGTAGAAACATGCATATTTCTTCCATTGGGATATCCATCTATCATCAAATTCTATCTAAGATTGCTATTTGATTCTGAAATTCCTTAATTGAATCTGAAATTCAAATCCTGAAAGGGGTTTAACAGACTAAATCTCTCGTTGAACAATGTACTAGCTAAAATAACCTAAACTTCAATTTCTTTCAAATGCATACATAATACATATGTATAAATGTTCATCAAAAATTATAAATAAAAATATTATATTAATTAATTTATAAATTAATTAAAACAAGAAAAAATAAATAAAAAATAAATCGTTTGTTTAAGACTCTAAGTTATTAACTTATTATATTATATAAGTATTGCCTAATTGCTTAGTTTTAATTCTTACAAAGATTCTTGGTAATATTTAATAATATAAACTTCATTCAGAAAAATTTTAAAGGTATAGAATACGAAAAAAAACCTTTATTAAAAGATCTTATTTACATCATTAACTGTACGTTTAACAAAATACAAAGCCTATGCACAGTTTAAAACGTAATCTTTTTATCTTTCATAATTAGATCTTCTGTTGCGAAGAAGAGCAATTTGCATTTCTCTAGGTTGTGCCATGAATCGGTAATTTAAGAAAAATTAGGTCAACATAAATATATAGCATAGGCCTGACTTCAGACATTTCATTATTTACAAGTCTATCAATCAATGATAGTGAAATCTAGATTTCAATAAATGTACTATCATATCCTAAATGTACGTTGTCCTTCTTAATGTATTTTTTATTTGTCTGGGGACGAATTGAGTAAATATCCCCAAAAAGGACTAAATAATGAATTTAAAAAGTTACATATAAATTATTACGATATATAATGTAGCTCTGATTAGTTTTTCTTATTTGGCGACTTAATTACTCATATGACATTTATTGTTGAATGTAAAGAGTTTTATGAAAAATGATTTATGAATCAAGGTATGTACATACATGTACACATTTTGAAAATATAGTTTTTTATGCCAATTGAAACCAGAATACCTTTCAAAAATAAATTAATTATCTTGAAAGATTAAGAATAAGCCCCTCTTAAAATCATTAAATTTAAAATGTTCAGAGGACAACTTTTAATTTTTCATTCAATGAATAAGATTAACATTTTAACAGTAGAAGATCTGTGACATTTCGACAATAAAAGTCTGAGTTTAAACGGAAATGATGTGAATAACGACATGTCTCGTAAAAAGGAAACATTTTTACGCCCCTTTGAAGACTTTGAAGCTAGCAGAGCTTTATTAGGTGTGTAGCAAAAAATCTCATTGTATTTTAAATGTGACTACTAGCTACTACGTCAGACAACCCATTTCTTGGGCATAAATAACTTCATGAATACAAAGATTTGCTTCTTAATATTAAGAATTTCAACATTAAAAATATGTTTTGGAAAATATTTCAATCCATCTGCGAGTAACATTCATAAATCTATTGTGAACCAAGAAGAAAAACTAGACTTGGTTCCTCACAACGGAAATAATTATTTTTAAAAAAGCAAAACAGTTATCAATAGAATATGTGTCATAAATGTAATGAAACCCCTTAGAATACAAATTTATTTCCAAGTTCAGGTGGATGATTACATGTCCACAGGAGAATCGAAGATGGTCTATATAGCAACAAGAATTTTGTTTCCATGCTTTTAAAACCGCCGTAAATGAATATTTATTTGGTTTGATAGCGGACTTTTTTATCTACAAATTAACGCAAATAATATTCTAAGAAGCTGAACAACTATTACTTACAAAACTTGTATATTTCAAAATCAGTGCAACGTTTCTTGAAACAAAAATATGTGAAGCTACTTATAATATATAAAATATTTTGGCGTTATTTGGGAAATAATCAAATTATACTAGCTGTAGGAAGTTTACCAAATGCAGCTAATTATTAAGGAACAAACAAGTTTCAGTACTTCTGATAGCATCCAAAGCCATAACTATTGTAAGACAATAAATTTTAAATTGAAAAGGATGTCATAATAAAATGGAAAAGCATTAAAAGCCAAAAACTGTAGACATTTCGAAGCAATAAATAGTTTTATCGAGATTGCTGAAGGTCACGGAATGATAAGATAATATAGAGACGAATCACAGAAACCATATATAGTTTATTTTATGTTCTATACTTCATATTGCAATATAAAATATATTAAAGAGTGCAATTACTCAGGAACGGGAATTTAAAATTTGAAATAATAAAGTTTATACCGTGATTTAAATATACCTTAATGTATATTCGCTTTATTTAAATACGTAAATAAAAATAAGATAAAACTATTGGATCAAATGAACTTTATTTTTGTTTACCAAATATAAAATCAGGTTTATATCGTGGTTGTTGTGACATACAAATGGCTATATAGTAAATTGAACGAACGTCGTAGGGACGTCGCTGTTGCGTTGGTAAATGTATGCTGCTGACTACGAGGAACGAACTGCTATCCTTGAACACCAGAAATTTCCTGATACCACAGAAGCGAATGATCATATGATCTGGGGTGGAGTCTTAGCTGTAGGTCACAAGATTCTGTCATGTGATTTTTTCATTGTAATAGGTATGTGTTAAAAAGGCTTCGAAGTTTTCCTAAAATATCTGGTTGGAAATGAACCACATATGACTAAAACATTAGTTAAAAACTTTTTTATTTTATTATTTAAGTCCGTTTTTTATAATAGATAGTAATACTATCATATCTCATTGTCATGTCAGGAGATTTTTTGGCGTTAAACTATTTTTGATAAACAGATCGAATGATACAAACAAAAAAATTGCGAATATACATATGTGTTTGAGGTACCATGACGCCTGTCTAAATTTAAGTGAACTTGCATTGACCCCGATTCATGATATATTCCGAGAAAATATTTGACGTTTGACAACAAAACATTTCATTTCAGATATTCACTTATTAATACGACATTTCGAAGAAATATTTCAGAGCAATACAACAATAGAATTACATATTCGGATTTTTGTTATTTTATTAAACCAAAAAGGTAAGTTTTAGATGATGAAAAGTAATGAAGGCAGCATATTATTTTTTTATATTAAAAATTAATACTCCATTCTAATTTCAACAACTCAACTAAATTGAACAGTAATCCAATACTATATTACTACACAAACCAAAATCGGCTAAAGAGTTTAACTGAATCCATTTTGTGAACAAAGTATTTAGTATGAAGTTGGCTAAACCCACTTCATCATATATCGAGTGAGAAACTGCTATTAATTTTCGAAATCATTTAATCCAACTAAAACTTTCTGATTAACGTTCAGTCTAAAAATTAAAATTATTTTTAACTTTTACAATGATTAGTATTATTAATTACAAATAAATTACTTTATTTTAATTATAAATAATAAATTTATTTCAAACTTTTCGATAATGCCAGTTACTTAAGACCAGTAAAGCATTATTTAAGGTAATTAAAAGAAAAATAACTCAAGAGGTTGATTTTATTTAAACACATTTAGAAGGATAATATTTTTAAAATCTTAAAGTAATATCATATTATTATTCTTAAAATTCAAGCCTTAAGATATCCTTAATATTCACCTTAAGATATGACCAAATAAAAGTGAGTAATTGTCTATTTTGTACAAAAAAATTGCACATACATATTTTGATAAAAAAAAACACTTATATATGTAATTGTTTTTATAATATATTCTCTGTTATTTTACAATCCATGAGTACCAACTAATGGAGTCCTCTTGTACATTTAATTATTTAACACACAACACACTTTTTATAGTTGCCTTTGTCAACGTCTGTTTGCTTTGGCTAACTTTTGAACAGCTGTTCAGATTTTGCAACTTTTACTGGATGACACATGAGTTGTTTGTTCAACAAGTACATGAAAATTGAAAAGGAAAATTGATGTTACTACCGCATAACGTTTATACAGTAAAAATATAGGACAACTAACCATTTACAATGACATAAGAATTGATTAAATGTTATAAAGAAACTTGGGCTAATTCAATATAGATTTGAAAAAACTAACCTTTCTAATAAACGAAACCACGACAAAAGATATTATTATTTTGTTTCTAGTGTGATATCATCTTCATGCAGTTTTTATTTATTTACTAACAAAAATAAATAACATTTTTAACATTTACAGCTTTTGTTTCAGAACATGAAAGTAAGAAACCTTAATAAAATAAATTAAGAAAGTAAATCAATTAAAAATATTCCCATCTTTTAATTCCCTTTTAGACATCTTATAATTGTACCCCATTAAGTAGTAGGCAGTTTTAATTTAGAATCCTTAAGCATTAAAACAAGTACGCAACTAATTCAAGACGAGGATTCTTTTAAAACGTGATGAAATTTTAAAACGACTGCGTCATCCCCACTTCGTTTCATTTAATAAAATTCTCCATATTTGAAGATATTATTTAATAAATATGACTATTAAAATACAACAGCATTTTCCGCAGGCATTTTATGTTCAAAATTTGTCATTTTAGTTACATAACAGAGATGAGTGAGACATCATTTCCTTAGGCAGTATATTTTTCAACTGTATTCATCACATTGTTTGAATGAAAAACTTGAGAAGTTTGAATAGAAATCATCTGAGATGTCGCGAGCCCTTGAATTACTTGGTGGAGCGTAGACAAAAGATTCTACAGTTTATGAAATATTTTAAAGTTGAGAGTATATAACAACATGTTTTGTAGGGAAAATATATATATATATATATATATATATATATATATATATATATATATAAATATGATAATAATTTTCTAAAAG